TTTAGGGCAACTAGTTTAGTTCTAATTTGAGTAAGCTCATAATAGGGAATACCCTAAGCCTGGGAACTGAGGCCTAGCCATCATTCATTTGCGGTCGCATTCTAGCTTTGTTCGTCGACAGCTGAATGTTTCGATCTGGTTTGATTCATGATCGCATCTGCAAACCTTATCCCTTGGGACTTTGTTAATTGAATCTTGAGCAAGTAATATAATGGTAAATTAAGTGTCAAGCATACGAGAATATGTGTTTGATCTTGTTAAAGTATACCCTTAATCGAATAGCAAGATAGAATTATAACGAATGAATGTCTAATTTATCACACACTTGAAAATAAAGTAAAAGCTTTCAAATTTGTGAGATGTATTGTTAGGATGTAGAAACTTCGTTGCTAATCCATTTTAGTTCAACAATTTAAATTGACATTTCGAAATCATGCTCGTTGGTGATGTTCCTATTTTAATTAATAGCTTCTCTCAATAGCAATTAAATCTAATCCTACATGAGAATTGTGTATATCTCTATGAAAGATACGAAAGTGCAATAAGGTATTAAACGAGCTAAAATATCTATAAAAATCATGTGAAACATAAAGATATATCTCTATCCTTTATCGAACCTCACAAAGTGCATTATTACGTACTAATGAACCCTCTATCTCTCTCAATGATAGTAAAACCCACAAACAATTTAGCTAATGGCTAGTTAATTGAAAAGCAAACAAAATAAATTAATATAAATCAAATCATTTAACCAAAAATTTTATAATAAGGGTTCATTTCATCCTAGTAATGAAAATAGTCCAGCCAAGCATATTGAAATTACAAGAACACATTTTAAGGTTAATAAACATCACCCGAAAATTAAATAATTGACGAGAAATCTTGAATTCTTGAATGTCTTCGATGAATTCTTGATATATCTTGTTGTTTCCTTCCAATTCTTGTGCAAGTTTCGTAGTATGAAGTGTGCTTAATAGTTTTCTTGCAATTCTTTGGTTGAAATATCTCACAAGCATGAATACGTCCTTTTCTTTAATATAATTCTTCCAAGTTTTTGAGTTGTCTATTGCATAAAATAGGCTCTCCCATGTGTATGGAATGTTTTGGTATTTATATGACTCAAATCTAGGTCAAACATATCATCCAAAACATTGCCAAGTTGAGTTTTAATCGTATAAGGAAACTTGAGATTCGTCCAAAATCTTGTACTATGCGGTAGCATAGTACATTGGGATGCAACTGCATAGTTCACTTGTTGAACTCCAAATTCCTCCCTACATGTGTGGATATGACTGTATGGATTTTTTGAACTATGCGATCGCATAGTTATAGGTTTTTTTTGGGAAATAACTTTCAGTATTTTGGTCATATCTTTCTCTTTCGATTAAGATGATTTAAACTGCATTGGAAAGATAACTCAAATTTATACAATTCTTCCAGACATAATTTTTTCAATTCGAACGTTTTGCTATGCCAAAATGGGTTTACACGGAAATTGAAAATCTGAAGCATAACTTTTTTGCCTAAAAGTTGATACGTGATAATATTTTGACTATGTTTCATTCCTTTGACTTCTTTCCTCATTCGATAGACCCCTAACACTCTCGAATATTCTTTGCAAGGTTCAACACAATTTTTCAATTTTGCACTTTAGTCCTCAAACTTTGATTTTGTTTCATTTCAGTCCTTTTCTTTTGTAATCTTCTTCTTTTATCTTTCCATTGTATCCAATTAAACTCATGGCATCTTCGATCTTTATTTCATTGCCTGTCTCATCTATGGATTATTTGAAACTTGGTCCCCGTCTTTGGGATTTCACTTTTTTTTTCCTTTTGTTTCTTCCAATTTCTTGTTCAACCATTGAGTTTTACATATTTAATACAAAAATGTAACAATTTAGATTGTATTTCACTAGAGAAACAATTAAATATTACTATTTAAGGCCTTTAATATGTGTACGAAATACACTTATCACATCGCATGTATATAACTATGTGATATGTGCTCTTGATTGATCACTATGTAAATTTGATTGTACCGGGTATGACCTTATCTCTTGGTGAGTACATGTAGTAAGTGTATGTGTTTTAGGTTTAAGATACTAGTAAGGTCTGTGCTTCCAATTTATTTTGGATAGCTTGATTAGGCAAGTATTAACTTGGTTTTTTGGCTTGCAAGTTTGTTTAGTATAAATGTGGATTTTATTATTTTTTTGGTACCCAATAAATCTCGGGACGATGATGTTTGATAGTTTAACATTTAATTTCATTGGGTTCGGTCAAGGATTGAATTAACACCATAAGTTGGAACCCAAACCAAAGTCTCAATTCACAACTTAATCGGGCAAACCAGAGCAATTTTTCAATTACACGTTGCCCTCTTTTTTAACTTATCATTTAAAAAAAATCAGATTTTAAATTTATTCTTTCAAAAATCAGATATACCCTATCAAACCCACCCATTTTCTATCCAAACAAAAGCTCATAGAACTTCTCCAGCAGCTTCTAATTCTCCGCTATCAATTATTTCTCTGACGATAAGTGCAGTGGCAGTAGAGCGGCGCGCATCATTGCTATATGCAAAGTAGTGTCATGCGCAGTGGAGATCGCATGGTGGAGCTTGTTTATAATTTGCAAATGGTCGTTATTTGTGGTGGTCGTAATTTTGGCACAACATTAGGTTGATGTTGGTGTAGTGGAGTGGGGTGAGTGAGATGAAGAGCGTTTGTGACCAATTATTTCAGTGATTGTCACCAATAAAATGGTTAATTTGTTACTAATAAATATTATGTATCCTATAAATTAGGTAATTTGTGATCAATAAATAATATGTGACCTAAAAGATGTGTGATTACGACTAAGACTCACAATTTGTGTCTTTTTTATTGTGACCGTATATGATTTGTGACTGTGATCATAATTGTGTGTTAACGTGACCTTCGACCAGTTATTATGACCTTGACATGTTATCAAGTGGCCACTTGATTTTTGATAGCTCTTTACAAGTTTCTTATTTCTGAAAATGTGTCTTTGAATCTTTGTAATAATGTATTTTTCCTTTTTTTAGTTAATGCTGCTCATGGTCCATTTGATAGTTTTAGTCCATTTGTGTGGTTGACCGAACTAATTGGCTACCTATATATATCTCTCCTTTCTTTGTGAATTATTTTAAGAATGGCAGTTGTGATTAAAAAACAACAGCAGTGTTTCCTTCCACTTTGTGAGCATTTTGTTGTGGCTGTGTGCTCCTTTTCTCTTTCCTTTGTGAGCACCACCTGCACCTTCCCTTTGTGGATTCCTGGGCAACTCAGTGGCGTTTTTGGATTGTGCTTTTTTGTGGTGTTGGAGTACCCTTGTGGTGGATTATACTAAGCCGTAATAATCAAGATATCGGTTTTGCACGGTGAAGCTTCATTGGTGGTGTAATTATATCCGACACACGATTATCTACCAGGAATCAATATTGGTTCATTGCCAACACCGCGTGTGAAATTCTTTGACTAAAATCATTGCTTCATGAACTCGACATTCAAACTACTTACCACTCTATTTATTTAGTGTAACAATGTTGTGACCGTTTATGTGTGTGCCAATTCCATATTCTACTCTAAAGCGAAGCACATAAATTGACATACAATTTTTTTTGTGTTTACGTTCAAATGATGCACTCACAAAACCATTTTCTTGAGCTCGCTTTCATTATCTTCATTCCAAGATTGGAGTCTCTGATGGGTCCAATCCATCATCTTGTACGAACATACTAGAGATAATATCTACGATAAATATTCCATGAAAATATTTATCTTTATTTTGTACACAGATATCTGTGGACCATTTTTTACCCCTTAATGGAGACTTTATATTATTTATTGATTACCACTCAAGATAGATGTATCTCTATCTTTTGTTCGATAACAAAGAAGCGTTTGATGCTTGTAAGGTTTTCAAAAAGAGAGAGAGAGAGAGAGAGAGAGGGAAAAATGGTAACATCAAATATGGGTGGATAATCTTATGGGAAGTACATAGGAGTGATAAGTGATAGGAACATATTCATTCTTTTGCCCATTCGTAGTAAATGTTACTCTAGTCATTGACCATAGTAGTTAGCCAATACTCTAGTTATCCTTATACACAATTGTAGTTCCCCTTAATTTTAGTTCACTTTGTATAGAATATAGATAGAACAAATGATCAATAGAAGAGTGGCTAATTCTCTTCTAAATATTGTCTTTATTTTATATTCTACATTTGTTGCATTCCATTCATTTGAAGCTAAAATCACTCAGAAACATATAATTGCAAGGAAAGTTTTTTCTGCAAGAGTCTTCGGTGGTTTCTACTTTCTTCCGCATACTAGAATTCACCATCTTAACAAAATTTGAAAATGTAAAATCTAATGTTTAAGAATATCCACTAATTTTCTAAGTCATTCGAAATTTATCTTTCGAAACTAAATAAAAAGAAAGGTTAAAAGAATGAAAAAACAAGGTATGAATTAGTAGGAAAAACGTTTTTATAAGCTTATAAAACAGTCCTAAAAACAAGCAGAATGATGACTATTGAAACTAAGCTCCTGTTTGATTGCAAAGGTGGAAAAAGGGCAAACTAATTCTATATAAGTTGGAAAAGAAAAAACTCACCAAAACCATATGAATGTATTTTCCACTCAAGTGGCCAAAAACATGCTTTAAGTGTTTATACCTTGAAATTCGAACTTCATTTTCACTTTCATATCAAACAACCAAAGTAGAAAACGAATTTTTTGGATGTGACATGTTCGATGGAATTGAAGCCAATCAAACGGACCCTAAAATGAATAGAAAGGTCAAAAAGAAGTAAAATAAAAGGGTTGAATTAGTAGATTTTTCATTATTTTATTTTATTATTATTATTTTTTCAGTAAACTTAAAACAGTCCTAAAAGCAAGTAGGATGATTGATATTGGATTTTAAAGTTTAAAGTATTATAATACAGAATCAAAAGACTACTATTGTATTATAACAGATGTAAAAGATAAAGATTAAATGTTAAGACGGCTTGTTTCGAGATCCATAGTTTCAAGTTTATAAAAATATCACTTACACATCTTACAAAACAAAACTTAAATTACTACTATCTCATTCTACTTTCCAAGATTGTACCATCTAATCCATTTTACTAGAAATGACATCTAGGCATAGAGATGTACATCAAGAATCACGAAGAACAGAATAAGAAGCAAACCATAGATGACAGTGTGCAGCAACATGGAGGGTATGCTAGTCTTCATATTCAAAAAATCGACCGGCCTATGCTTCCCAGGAAGCTGGAAGATCAATCCGGGTGAGAGAAATGCAAAAAGTGCTGCTCCAATGAGCGGGGCTGCCCAATCCTTCATTCTACTAAGCCTTGTCTTAAGCTTCTTCTTGACCTTCTTCTAACAAGAGAATGAAAAATAAAAGAGTAGAGGGCAAAGCTTATGAAAAAGGGCTTTGGAATTTGGATGCTAAATAGTTTTATAACATCAAATTGCTCTAGAGGGAGATTGAGAATCCCATAAAGTAAGAAGATGATAAATTATTATAGTCCTAACTTTAAGCTTTTTCCTGTTTATCATTTGCTTTATGTTGGAAAGGCAGGATATGTGGTATTGTGGTTGAATTATAAAATATTCAATAAATTTCGGTAGATATTACGAAGATATTGAGTTTCGCATGCGGAACAGTTTTGAGTAAGAACACAAACGTCGACAAGTGCTAATTGTATTCTACAGTTATTACTAGATGGGTGCGTTTGCGAGTTTCTAATTCTTATTATTTAAAAGAAAAAAAGAAAAAAGGTTAAGCCTCCATCTTGAGGGCCCTTACCGCCCCACCCCTAGAGCTTTATGAGGAGGTAAATCGCATGATGTGTTCCAGCAGGTCAGGGAACATGAGCTGCCTGTATACTGCGCCTACAAGGAGTCCAATTCTATGTTTCAGGAATCGAACCCCAATACTGCGATTGCCAGCAAGGCGTGAGATAAACTCACTTCTGTCCTTTGCACCATTGAGTTTTGCTCCGGGAGCTTCTAATTCTTATTATTTGATTCTATTTGAAATTGTGCACTTGAAATATCGAGCTTGACAGCAATGGACTATATGGAGAATTGAGAAAGAAATATATTAAGCTCATGTTTGATTTAGATATAAAATTCAGATTTTTAGTAAATTTTAATAAAAATTGATAAATATGTGATTGAAAAATTGAGAAAAATTATGGTTATCATGAAATGTGTAATAGAAAATGAGTTCTAACTTCTAATGATTGGGGGCCAAGGGATAACTGATTTTTAATTATCAATTATAAAATTTTAATTAAATTATTATTAATTATCTACGTTACTTGTTATAACAGGGAAACGTTTAGCTAGGGTACCGAACTTTTGTACCTTGTGACCATTAATAACCTTTCAAAACCATATGAATGTGGTCGTCATTTAACAAATCAATTAATTTGAGAGTTAAAACATTTTAAGTACTAGAGATCCCTTATTTTAATTAAAAAAAATAACAAATCAGAAAAAATGAAAAATAGAAAATACGAAGGAAAAATAGAAAATCGAAATCTGAAAAAATAAGGGTGCGTTTGGTTTGAGTTTCTGTTTTCTATTTTGAGGGGCTATTTTCGAATTACAGAAAATTATAAAATGCGTTTAGTTTAAAATTTTTAGAAATTATTTTATGACATTTATTCAATTAATTTGATTATTTAGTAAAACATAACAATTTTATGTTAATATATTATCATATAATATATATTTTAAACTTGGTGAATTTACTATTTTTCTTGCTACAAAAATAAAATAATAAATAATAAATATTTAAAAATTATTTTATGACACTTATTCAATTAATTTGATTATTTAGTAAAATATAATAATTTTATACTAATATATTACTAGTTAATATATATTTTAGATTTTGTAAATTTACTATTTTAAAAGTATTGCTGAGCATCCATATAAAAATAAAAAACATAAAAACCTGAAAGCGGCGTGTTTTGAGCGTTTTTCATGTTTTGAGTTTTTTGAACTGAAACCACTCCAAACGAAAAAAATCGTTTTGAGTTTTCAGTTATAAATTTTTCCTTATTTTCGAAAATGCATTTTAGGAAACGAGTAACCAAACGTATTTTTGACATTTTCGAAAACTAAAAATAGAAAACGGCTGAAAAACGACAAATTTGAATTTTAAAAATGGTCAGTGCCCATTCTAAACTCTGTAAGTCAAACTCCTTAAACTAATGCTGAGATCTGAGAACTCCAAACCATCAAATTTCTAAGAATACAAGCATTAACCTTCCCTCCCAAACTTTTTTTAGCATTTTGGTTTTTATACTAATGATTTATAGCATCTCCAAGATACTCTAAATATGAGATGCTCTCTATTTTGAAGAATCTATCCTAAAATCATGTTTTAAGAGACTTTTTAAATTTAAATTTTAGTTTAGATAGTGGGTTTGAATTTGGAGAGCCTAATTCACTCTCTATAATTAAATACATTCAAAGTGTTTAATTTTCAATAAAGGAAAATGATAAAATAATCTAGAAAAGGGCTAGTTAAAAAAAGATAGAGAAAAATAATAAATATTTTTTGTGAGTAATAAAATTAAGTTTTAAATATAAAGAACTTGTAGGAGTATTTCAAAATCTTATCTCTCTAAATTTACAGATGCTATCCAAATGATAGAACGTTCTTTAAAAAAAGAGTCTCTTAGAAATGCTCTTAGGAATTCAGTCAAGTATTGGTTAACAACACTAACATTAAATCCACATAATCAAGCCATACCCTAACATAAGTGATAAGTCAATATGGCTATGTACTCAATAATTAAGTTTAACATGGATAAGTACTCAAGAAAATGCACATGTTTTGTTGCTGTCCAGTAATCTAGCTAAAGTCATACTCAATTCAATTAAATATCATCATAGGCGGCAAGTCATTCAACACTAAATTAGACACTATATTTTAATTTTTCAAATTTTTTTCCTTAGTCATTAATAACTGACTCGATCAGTAGTTGAAAAATTAAGTATAATTAACAGTTATCATGATACTTACCCCACCCCTAAACAAAATACTATATTGGCCCCAATATAAAATTAATTAATCATAAATAAATGAATAAGAGATCAGATACTCCTTGGGGTGGATGCGGATGAGTGGAGGAATTAGGTTTGTCCGACTGGCTGGACAAACTAGTAGGTCTGAGAGACTTGACAGTCCTTACTATTTGGCCTTCATTTTTGGTCAATCATCTCCAATTGACTCTCAAAGTGCACTGTCAATTAGGTTGGTCCGACTGGCTGGACAAACTAGTAGGTCTGAAAGACTTAGCAGTAAAAAAAATAACAAATCAGAAAAAATGAAAAATAGAAAATACGAAGGAAAAATAGAAAATCGAAATCTGAAAAAATAAGGGTGCGTTTGGTTTGAGTTTCTGTTTTCTATTTTGAGGGACTATTTTCGAATTACAGAAAATTATAAAATGCGTTTAGTTTAAAATTTTTAGAAATTATTTTATGACATTTATTCAATTAATTTGATTATTTAGTAAAACATAACAATTTTATGTTAATATATTATCATATAATATATATTTTAAACTTGGTGAATTTACTATTTTTCTTGCTACAAAAATAAAATAATAAATAATAAATATTTAAAAATTATTTTATGACACTTATTCAATTAATTTGATTATTTAGTAAAATATAATAATTTTATACTAATATATTACTAGTTAATATATATTTTAGATTTTGTAAATTTACTATTTTAAAAGTATTGCTGAGCATCCATATAAAAATAAAAAACATAAAAACCTGAAAGCGGCGTGTTTTGAGCGTTTTTCACGTTTTGAGTTTTTTGAACTGAAACCACTCCAAACGAAAAAAATCGTTTTGAGTTTTCAGTTATAAATTTTTCCTTATTTTCGAAAATGCATTTTAGGAAACGAGTAACCAAACGTATTTTTGACATTTTCGAAAACTAAAAATAGAAAACGGCTGAAAAACGACAAATTTGAATTTTAAAAATGGTCAGTGCCCATTCTAAACTCTGTAAGTCAAACTCCTTAAACTAATGCTGAGATATGAGAACTCCAAACCATCAAATTTCTAAGAATACAAGCATTAACCTTCCCTCCGAAACTTTTTTTAGCGTTTTGGTTTTTATACTAATGATTTATAGCATCTCCAAGATACTCTAAATATGAGATGCTCTCTATTTTGAAGAATCTATCCTAAAATCATGTTTTAAGAGACTTTTTAAATTTAAATTTTAGTTTAGATAGTGGGTTTGAATTTGGAGAGCCTAATTCACTCTCTATAATTAAATACATTCAAAGTGTTTAATTTTCAATAAAGGAAAATGATAAAATAATCTAGAAAAGGGCTAGTTAAAAAAAGATAGAGAAAAATAATAAATATTTTTTGTGAGTAATAAAATTAAGTTTTAAATATAAAGAACTTGTAGGAGTATTTCAAAATCTTATCTCTCTAAATTTACAGATGCTATCCAAATGATAGAACGTTCTTTAAAAAAAGAGTCTCTTAGAAATGCTCTTAGGAATTCAGTCAAGTATTGGTTAACAACACTAACATTAAATCCACATAATCAAGCCATACCCTAACATAAGTGATAAGTCAATATGGCTATGTACTCAATAATTAAGTTTAACATGGATAAGTACTCAAGAAAATGCACATGTTTTGTTGCTGTCCAGTAATCTAGCTAAAGTCATACTCAATTCAATTAAATATCATCACAGGCGGCAAGTCATTCAACACTAAATTAGACACTATATTTTAATTTTTCAAAATTTTTTCCTTAGTCATTAATAACTGACTCGATCAGTAGTTGAAAAATTAAGTATAATTAACAGTTATCATGATACTTACCCCACCCCTAAACAAAATACTATATTGGCCCCAATATAAAATTAATTAATCATAAATAAATGAATAAGAGATCAGATACTCCTTGGGGTGGATGCGGATGAGTGGAGGAATTAGGTTTGTCCGACTGGCTGGACAAACTAGTAGGTCTGAGAGACTTGACAGTCCTTACTATTTGGCCTTCATTTTTGGTCAATCATCTCCAATTGACTCTCAAAGTGCACTGTCAATTAGGTTGGTCCGACTGGCTGGACAAACTAGTAGGTCTGAAAGACTTAGCAGTCCTTACCATCTGGCCTTCATTTTTGGTCAATCATCTCCAATTGACTCTCAAAGTGCACTGTCTACTCATGCACTTGATTATAAGCGTAAGTGATGGTTCTTTGTTCATAGTACGTCTGATCATCACTTAGTTGGAACCCTCTTATTTGTACACTCACTCTTTGTAACTTCCTCAACATGTCTAGCTGCGTCCGCTGCATCACCTCTAAAACATTTGTCGTGGTGCTAACATATCTACCAAACTCCACATAGGTTATCTGTATCTGAGATAACTGTCTACTAAGGAAGATTGTGTTAGCATCTAGAGCTTGCTGTTGTGGTGGAGGTGCCTGCTCGGTATTATGTGCTCTTTTTGCTCTCGCCACTATGGCTTCTGAATTGTCAATTGTTCTTTTGCTGATTAGGGCATCTAGAGCAGCACTATCCTATCTTGACAGCAGTGGTATCTCGACTATCAAACAAATTCCATGATCAAGCATGGGAATATAATGCCTCGCTAAGGATCGATAGATGAGGCCAACTCCCGTATAAACGTATGTATACGGGCTCCCAAGTAATTTCCGCAATCTTGCCTTGTGATAAAGTAGCCTAGCCCTTTCTTCATTGAATTTTTTTCCTTTAGGACGTAGGGTAAATATTGGTATAGAAGATGATATGCAAGAGTCTGAGCTCTGAAGTCAATTATTATGTAGAAAACGAGATGAAATTAAGTGGCCGTTCAACCTCACTAAAACAAGCTACCGGTGCCATGTCTTGTGAGTATGGTTCAACCCATAATATCTGTCAATTATCGTTGGGCTGAACCGGATCCATTTTCCTCTAACCCATGTTTGATTTCTGTGGGAAGATTATGGGTTATCAATGTTAGCATTGTATTTGGTGAAAAAATCCTTTACCAATGTACAATATGTCGCGTGAGATATACCAATAACCTTTTCCCAACTGAAGTGGTGTATAATTCTCTCGAGTAGCGTTCTTCAAAATCACCAGTTATGACCCTCCTCTCTTGGTAAAATTTCTTATCTTTCCACTTTATCTCCAAATTTTCGTAATTTTCAACATTCAAAAATCGTGCTATATCCCCATCATCTAGATTTTCATTTGCCTTTTTGCGACTGGTAGATGTCTCACCAACCTTCAAACTTCATTTCTCTTGAGTTGTGTCCTTTCTTTTTGGTGGCATTTTGTACCTACATATGAAAATAGAAAACATGAGAATAAAAGTATAATAAAGTGGGAAACACCCCAAAGTACCGAACTATATGTCAATAATCATGCACTAAAGTGTAAAACTCATGCCATGCTTGAGAAAATTTTAGATATAGGGTGTGTAATCAATGAATGGAGAAAAAAATATGTTACATTCCCTAAACAAACAAGAAAGATGTGTTTTTGTGTTTTAAAGCAAGGCCAACCAAAGACTTTCACCATCGAAAAATGTGGAAAAAAAATTTGAACTATTCCTAAGCGATCTCCTAGCATATAAAAGATCCTAGGGTAGTCTTACTCATGTTCAAAGTTGTGGTCAAATGGAGGTTGTTTGGATACGAAGTTGGTGACGTAAGGTGGTTAGCGCTTAGGCAATGTCAAGCTATGGTGATGCTAAGTATGTTTTGATGTTTTCTAATACAATGCCAATGATTTTCAACACCAAAAATGATCACACATGTATTGCAATCATGCCAAATGCTAGAATAGTCCTAATTAGACAAAAATTTCTACTCAGGCATTTGATCAAACACCTAGGATGCAATCTATGTTTCCATAAAATTTGAAGAAATCGAGGTTCCAATCAAGTCACAAATTTCACCCCATAAGCAACAATTCAATACACCTCAATCTTTCTGAGCCCATACTCATCAATTATACAGTGTTGTCCAATAAAAACAAGGCAGTCACATATATGGAGAGAAAGTAAAGAGAAGTTAAAGAGTACCTTGAATTCCTTAGCTTAAATGATGTGTCGAAAATGAAATTGATAGGTGAAACAATGCAATTCAATAATGACCTATTGTTTGGTTAATGGTTCTTGGAAGAGGAATTGAAGAGAAATGACTACCGTAAAGAAAGTGTCATGGGTTTCGTGTGTACGAGTTTTATTTGTGCTGGGAATGAGGTGTGTGCGCATAATGTTAAAACTGGTTTCAATTTTTTTAAATGGGTAATTAGCACAAAACGTCCATACCTTTTAAGTTTATTGTCAATAACATCTCTACCTTTCATTTTTTGACATTTTTGCTCCTACCTTCCACATTTCTTTGCGCAGAAGGTCATTTTGACGATTTTACCCTCCATTGAAATGAAAAAAAAAAAAAAAAAAGAATAAAGAATTAATTGCAATCATAGTCCCAAATTTTTTTATAAATTATAAATAAGTCATGAGGAAACTTGAATGTTCAGGGAAATAATCAAGAAATGGAGAAATTTTTTAATCATAACCAATGGAAATGAAAAAGTTTGAAGATTACGTGATTTTTGCGTCAAGCATTCCATCTACTATTCACAAAATAAAAATTGAGATTTATACTTATCCATTTTTGAAAATTTTCAGTTTCATTGGCTATGGTTCAAAAATTTCTCGATTTATTGATTATTTCTCTGTACATTCAAGTTTCCTTTTTTTTTTTTGGGTAATTTTAAAATTTTTCAATTCACAATAAATTGTGACCGATTTGTAATTTTTTTGAAAATTTGGGACTATTATTGCAATTAGTTCTTTATTTTTTTAATTTTCTTTTCCTTTTGTTTTATTTAAATGGAGGGTAAAATTGTCAAAAACAAATGAAAAGGGCCTTTTCCGTAGAGAAATGTAAAAGGAAGGGACAAAAATGCCAAAAAATGAAAGGTTGTGACGTTTTCTACAATAAACTTGAAAGGTAGGGACGTTTTGTGCCAGTTACCCTTTTTAAAACTATATGTTGTGTGTTCGTGTTTAAGTATTTTTATTATTAAAATTGTGTGTTTAAGCCTAAATTAGTGCTTGTGTGCATACGATGTATTTGAAACCGCCTAAAAAAAAGTAAAATTCATGTGAATGTTTAAATCTCTAAATAGGATCCAAAAATTATAATGCAATTCCTAAAGCTATATGTAATGCAACGAGCAATAAGAATAGAAGTTAGGGATGAGAAAATGGGTTGCCTCTCATCAAGCACTCGACTTACAGTCTAGAGCTCAACTTGTGATTGATTTGCTCCAGTGTTGCAAGATGAACGGTAGACTATTATTTCGAGAATCCATTGCTTCAATATGGCTTTAATCACTGTCCATTATCTTTAAATGTTCAGTTGCTTTCATGAGTGATCTTAAGAGCCAACATATGGATAAATGAGTAATTGTCTATGGCACCGACCACCATGATCTCAACTTGCCTGGAAAGGGCTTGAGTTGTGAATTGTATAACAAGACCTGTTGTCCAACTTCAAACTTTCTTCGTTGAATATGAATATCATGCCTATTTTTTGTACATTCCTTATACAATTTTACCTTCTCATAGGCTTCTAACCGAAACTTATCCATCTCATTTAGTTGAAGTACCCTCTTCTTGCCAGCTACTTTCAAATCAAAATTTAAAGTTTTAACTGCCCCATAAGCTTGACATTCCAACTCTACTAGCAGATGAAACACTTTTCTAAAACCAAATGATAAAGATATATGTCTATAGGGGTCTTGAAAGATGTTCTATAGCCCACACGGCACCATAAAGTTTTTTAGACAAATCTTTTCTTGACGAACTCACCGTCACATTAAGTATCCACTTTAACTCTCCGTTGGAAATTTTGTCTAGTCCACTGGTCTGAGAACGATAGGGGTAGCTATATGATATCAAACGCTATATTTTGCCAACAAGGACTCAAATTAACGATTACAAAAGTGTTTACCCCATCACTATTGATTACACGATGAGTACCACAATAAGTGAAATGCACTTCTTCAAGAAATTTATCACTACCCAAGCATAATTTGTTGACAATGCAACTACTTCCACCCATTTAGAGACATAGTCAATTGTAACAAGGATATATTGATCTGAGAACGAATGAGGAAATAGTCCAATGAAGTCAATTATCCACACATCAAATGGTTGCACTTTAAGAATATTATTTAAAGGCATCTAATTCTTTCTAGAGATATTTTCTGTGCTTTAACATATATCACACCTCTTCACAAAAATATAAGTATCTCTAAATATTGAAGACCAATAAACCAAGACTGGAGGATTTTTGCAACTATCTTTGAAGCACTAAAGTGTTCATCATAGGTGGACGAATGTCTAAGGGCTCTCCTATTTTGGGACACATCGTCGAATAATCTGATCTGAAGGATCAATAGTTCACAACAACGAGAATAAAAGTAAATTCACAAATAAAGATTTAATTATTTTATCCTATCGAAGACATAAGTGGGGTGGGAACTCAAAGGATGGATCGAGTGGACCGTCATCTAATTCTTCAGGTGTAGTTTTTAATGACGAGGATTTACATGTTGAGTAACTATTTCAAACAAAGAAAGATTTGCATGAAACTGTGCACTAGATGTCATTAAAATGCAACTTTAAGTTCAAGGTAAAGCAATCAAAAAAGTCAATATAGATGATTGTTTGCATCGACGATAGTTGCAATTGACGCTTTTGAGTGACTAAGATGGTCATGAATGTGTTATTTGTAATTCGCAAGTATACACAAGAATATACTTACAAAGTGGAAATTCATTGATACGATCATAGGAAAGTTTGAGTATGATTTATTGGTCGACAAATAATGTATAAGTATTAAGACCCATAGATGATTTACAGACCTTCGGACATCATTGACAACGTCTGTTGAGAGTACAGAGTAGTCATGAGCTACCAGAAGGCATGGAAGGCAAAAGAATATGCCTTGAAGGATTTAATGGGCTCAATCGAGAAGTAGTACGCTAAATTGACCAAGTATTGTCATAATTGGGGCAACTAATCTTGTCTCGACATTTTTTATTGAGACAGAGGGAAATAATTGATTTAAGTTTTTTTCCATGGCTCTTAGACCATGTATTCAAAGATTTTGAAATGCTATTGAACCCATAATTCTAGTCGATGGTATAACTCTAAAGCTATATATAAAAGCAAGTTGATTATAGCTAAATGTCAAGATGCCAACATCAAAATTTACCCTCTTGCATTCGACATAGTCGAGAGCCAAAATGATCTGTTGATACGTTGGTTCTTTACAAATTTGAGGAAAGTGGTCGAGAACCTTGCCTTTGTAATTGATACAGGACCATCTATAATAATTGATATTGGTGAAGTTTCCGCTGAAGTACATCATGGGTATTTTATGTATCATATATAAGGCAACTTGATGATAGGTATCACGGCAAAGTTATCATTTCATTGTTCAAGAGAGCGGCCAAAGCTTATGGTATCGAGGAGTTAATACCAGCTTGGAATTGTTTAACAAAAATGGGGATTCAATATTGGGCATGATCACATCTTCTAGGACGTCGATACAATATGATGACATTGATCAATGTGGAATCTCTCAATGCATTGTTCAAGAAGAATTGAGAGTAACCAATTCTTGCAATGTTTGAGAAGATTTGTGACAAGATGCAGCAGTGGTTTTACGATCAACGTACGGAATCATAAAGTTGTACGAGTGCATTAGTCCCGGTATAAGAGGATAAACTCTTCATATATATAGAGGTTGCGAGAAAGTTGAATGTGGAACCACTAGATGAGTGTATGGTTCTCCATGAAATGTTCATGTAATATCGATGCATGGTGGACTTGACTAATCACCATGCACATGCAATTGACTTTAGTTGGAGAGTTTTTCACATAAACATGCAGTCGCAGTGGCTATGTATCGAGAATTTACAGCAAGAATATTATGCTTTCCTTGTTACTCGACTTATTCTTGGAGAACAGTGTATGCTGAGACTATATTTCCTCTGCTGAATGAAGCTAAGTGGAAAGTTTTCGACTATATTCTTCTACTTAATACATTGTTGCCATCAGAAATTGAACTGTGTGATCCTAGACATCCACATGCGTCAAGAATACCATCTACTTGAGAGTTTTCTTGATTGCGTAGGTACGATAAGTATACAGCAAGTATACAACAATAGGCATACTTACCAATTTTGTACAAGTCAGATTCTTCTAAATGACAATTAGACCAAGATGTAATGATGTCATTGTTAAATGAACAATATTTACAATTCTTTTATAATATTTAAAATTAGTTCGTAATTAAATAAACAATTAAATATACAATGTTTACATAAATTTTGCAATATGTACAATTATTTCATAATCACAAAAAAATGCAATATACAATGTTTACATAAATTTTACAATATTTACAATTATTGCATAATTAAAAAAAATTCAATATACAATATTTATAGATCAAAATTAAATTAATATAAATCACATGCTAACTTATTTCTCGAAATTTGTGCTATATTAATAAGCAAAAAAATCATGTATGCATAAAAATAAACAAAAATGTATTTCAAAACTTATGTAAACACATATTGTATATTGAAATAATCAATATAATTTTTGGTTGATTTTATTAACATTATGTGCTATATTTAAAAATTCAATATACTTTATGGCGAAAATGCTGCAATCGCCTCTACAATTGAATAATAATGTGTTAATTCAGTGCCATGTGGCTAAAAACATAAAAATTTCAAACATTTTCGATATGGATTGTCTCGCTGTCATCGTGTTTCGCACAATGGTTAGTTTGTCCTGCAAAGTCACCCCTACTCGTTTGGCCATCAGAGGAATGGTCACAACCACCTGTTCCAGGTTTTACTCAAGCTGATCCTATGTCAAATATAAATGATCAGGATCGTTCACCTATATAGTCGAGTCAGAGAAGACGATCTCCATGGTAATGCATTAATGATTTGCAATAACTGAAATGTACATATGCATACACCTTTCCATGACTTTCTTCGGACACTGGTGACATCTCTATGACCAACTCGAGCATATATTCAGGTACCGTATACTCATTACCTATAAGTTGGAATGGCTAGTACTCAATGACAATGACACATACGAACTCGGTATTCAATATGACTTGGCCAGGAATGTCAAATGGTTTT